GTGAGTGTGCCACCTGAGTTGTATGGTTTTCATATTACTTCAGATGGTGACACATTCATAAGTGACAGAACACTGGTAAACTTAGATGAACCAGTCACTTATAAGGAAGCAATGGCAGGCCCAGAGGCTTCCAAGTGGAAAGAGGCAATGGACAGCGAGATTAAGTCCATGTATGACAACCAAGTTTGGAATTTGGTTGATAGTGCACCAGGTCGTAAGACAGTTGGGTGCAAATGGATCTTCAAGAAGAAGACAGACATGGATGGAAATGTGCACACATTCAAGGCTCGACTGGTTGCAAAAGGTTTCACTCAAACCCCAGGGGTTGACTATGATGAGACCTTCTCGCCAGTGGCTAAGATTAAATCTATTAGGATATTGCTCGCCATAGCTGCCTTTCATGATTATGAAATCTGGCAGATGGATGTCAAAACTGCTTTCCTTAATGGGAAGTTGGCTGAAGATGTTTACATGAGTCAGCCAGAGGGTTTTGTTGATGCAAAGTTCCCCAATAGAGTGTGCAAGCTTGAGAAATCCATTTATGGATTGAAACAAGCATCTCGCAGTTGGAATCTTTGCTTCCATGAGAAAGTCAAAGAGTTTGGTTTCTCTAGAAGTGAAGATGAGTTCTGTGTGTATATCAAGGCTAGTGGGAGTATAGTAACTTTTCTGGTGTTGTATGTCGATGACATATTACTCATTGGTAACGACGTTCCAACCTTGAAAGAAGTTAAGTCTTGGCTTGGAAAGTGTTTTGCCATGAAAGACCTTGGAGAAGCTGCCTATATTCTTGGGATTAGAATATTGAGAGATAGAAAGAAGAGACTAATTGGACTTAGTCAGAGCACATACTTGGATAAGGTACTAAAGAGGTTTAGTATGGAAAATTCCAAGAAGGGAGAGCTACCTATCCAGAGCAATACCAAATTGAGTAAGACTCAATGCCCGAGTACAGATGTTGAAATAGATGACATGAGTCGTGTACCTTATGCTTCCGCTGTCGGATCGATCATGTACGCTATGACATGTACTCGCCCTGATGTGGCATTTGCTTTGAGCATGGTCAGTCGCTATCAGGGAAACCCAGGTAGAGCTCATTGGATAGCAGTTAAGAATATACTCAAGTATTTGCGAAGGACAAAGGACTGGGTCCTTGTGCTTGGTGGCAGTGATACTTTGAGAGTAGATGGTTACAGTGATGCCAGCTTTCAGACGGATAGAGATAACTTCCGTTCTCAGTCGGGCTGGGTGTTTTTACTGAATGGAGGAGCAGTTACTTGGAAGAGTTCCAAGCAAAATACGGTGGCTGATTCTACTTGTGAATCAGAGTACATAGCAGCAAGTGAAGCGTCGAAAGAAGCAGCTTGGTTGAGGAACTTCATCGGGGATCTCGGAGTTGTTCCAACCATCCAGGAGCCTATGGAACTGTTCTGCGATAATGAAGGAGCGGTTGCCTTGACAAAGGAACCGAGAGATCATGGTAAGACCAGACATATCGACAGAAAGTACCATTTCATCAGACATAGAGTAGAAGAAGGCCATCTTATAGTAAAGAGGGTGTCATCTGAAGATAACCCAGCAGATCCCCTCACAAAGGGTCTGAGTAGGGCTAAGCATATTCAGCATGCTCGGAGCATAGGACTGAAAGATGATATTAGTTTTAGTAGTTAGATTAGTTTTTGAAACTTGTAACAAAGTAAATGTAATTGACTTTTGGTGATTAAATAATAAAGTATTATTTATAAGTTTGGCTACTACCTTTTGTCAATTGTTTATTATTGTGTTTCATTTTTGCATGTTTTACTTCCTGAATAATGAGATTATTCAAACTCCACAGTCGCTCGTACTCTTGGAAGTAAGTAGTGAATTAAGACTGTCATGAATTGGATTGCAGATTGTCTAAGGATAGACATGGCAATAGAATTGCTGCAATGTTCATGAGTACTCAGAAATTGAGATTTGAGTATTGGATAAACCCTCGCTCAGAGTATTACTTCATGGAATTCATCACGAGTAATACTGAGACGATAATATCTTATAATCTTGAAACGAAGATATATGAGTTGTAATTTACAAGTCGGTTGTGCATTGGTGATACGAAAACGCATCAGTAACTTGGTGTTATAAAACGTATTGTCATGCATAATTTGATGAGTAAAAGATACAAGCATATGAGTCAACGTTTATTCGTTCCTTTTGCCCTAACAGGAAAAGCGATATCTGTGGGCCCCTCGATGATTTGGTGTTGACTTATGTGCTGGGCCCAGCCAGGACTAAATTGATGTGTTCGATTAGAAGTCCTACATCATCACAAATCAGGAATCGGGAAACATAGATTCTGGACAAAGAGATTGATTACATTCCATGTCTTTTGTCTGGGGATATCAAGCAGAACGAAGGATTATATGATCACTTATCTTAGGACACGTAACTGACTGGGTCAGAGTTCGGCAGCAGCTTTTGGAAGCTACAATTTGCTGGTCAAATTTAGAAGGCATACTAGCAATTATAGTTACAGACTTATCCAAGTGGGAGACTGTTGGATTAGGTGTCTAAGCCCATAACTATAATTGGTATGTACTTGAATTGATAGCAGCACAGTCCTTTTGGGTTGCCCTCAACCTAGCAACTGGACAAGGAAATTATGAAAGGAGAGATATTAATTTATAAGATTAATAAATTAATATATATATAAATGATTTATTAATATGTTAATGGATTAATATATTAATTAGAAATCATTATGTTTAATTAATTGTTAGCCAGAAATTAATCAGAATTGATTTTGGGGTTAAAAGAATTAATTATAAGGTGCAGGGACTAGTTTGCAATTATCTAATAGTTGAGTGGAAGGCTCTAGAACCCCCTTGGAAGAGGGTGGACGAAATCTTTAGGGGAAACCCTAATAATTTCGTCCATAGGGGCTTGGATAAGGCCCTTGGGTTTGCTTAGGCCCTAAGCAAAGGATAACTAGGGTTTCCCTTAAACCCTAGATCCCTCAGCTATATAAGGAGCCTCCTGGTTCATGTTTTTGGTCACTCTTTCTTTTGAAGAAACCCTAAGGCCGAGATTTTGCATACTCCCTCTCTCCCCTCTCTCTTCTACTTTCCTTCTTGCTAGTTTGGGTGTGATTACATTAGAGGCATTACACTTGTGGTGCTAAAGCTTCCAAGAAGATCAAGATCAAGATCAAGGGAATATCAATTGTTTGCTATAACAATTGAAAGGTATGTAAACCCTAAACCCTAGTTTGTTAATTTCGAAATTAGCCTCTCTCCTCTAGGGTTCTTGTTTTGCAATTCAAAGTTGTATGTTCAATAGTTAAAACATAGATCCAAAGTAGGTTGCATGTGAACTTAGGAATTGTTTCTAGTTTATTTGTTTTACCTAAAACCCATCAACCATGACAACCATTTTATGCAAAACCCTAATTCTTGGGCCTTAAGCCATATTTAAAGGAAGTGATGGCTAGGGTTTCCTCCACCCTCAACCTTCATCACCTCCCAAACGACCCTTTGGCCAAAATGCTTGTTCTTTTGAAGCTTTTGTGCTTATTTTGCAAGCTTTTGGTGGCTTTATAAGAAAAAGAAGAAGAGTTGGTGCCTTGGTTCAGCAATCAAATCTTTCCCCTCACTTACGTGCACTTTTAGACTCCTTATAAGTCATCAAGCTTCCATATTTTGATGTCTTCCTCTTCAGATCTAGGTTTTATGTCATGTTTTGGTCCCTTTTGATGTGGTTTGTATGGTTTGTGTAACATCCGATTCCAGGTACTACTTATTTGGTCCCTTAAGTTTGAGATATTTGGCTAATTTGGTCCCTCGTACACTCGGCATACGTTTGGTACGCTTAGCGTACGAGATCGCTTTGGTCGCGGAGGGTTAACTGCGTACGGGTACACGGGGCGTACGTTTGCGTGGGTCAAACCTTAATTTTTAGTGTTTGAACTCTATTTAAACATCATTATTGCCTTTGGACACCCAAACTCATCAGCCTCCACTGTTCATTTTGTCCCATTGAAATCCTAATTAATCCTTTGAGAGTTCTTGAGCTTTGGAAGTGATTTTTGGGGCATTTTTGTGTGTATTCAAGAAGAAGGAGCTTGGAGACCAAGCATTTGTTGAGATTGAGGTTTTAGATCCAGAGTCTTCATCAACTTTGGGAGCTAGAGAAGTATAAAGTTCTTACATTGATGATTCTTTATGATAGTTTGAGTTTAGGGTTGTTTGTGAACTTTATTTGGTCCCATGGGTTCTCCTTGTGAGTTTGAGCAACTCCAGGAGTTAGATTTGTTAGATCTCAGCCTCTTTGTTGATCTTGATGCATAAAAATGTCATCTTCATGGTTATTATTCGTCCATGCATGAGATTCAGGCCTTATTATGAGCATTGTTGGACAAAAATGGATGTTGGGTTCCACTAAGGCATGCTAAGGGTTAAAGTTGCAAATTTATGAATTAGAAAGCTAAAATTGACGAGATCTGAAAGTTGGACCTTATGGCTGAAAGGATTAAGCACTAAATGGCTTAAGGTGGCAAGTAGCCCAGTACGTAGGGCGTACCAAGTGGTACGCTATGCGTACAGGCGATCGGTTGTGTACGCCAAGCGTACAATGCGTATGTCGAGCATACGCCTCGTAGTGGCTTTTGTGGGCTTATGGTCTTCGATTGGGCTTTAGACTTTTGGACCTTAGTTAGGTTTTGGGCCTTGGATTGGTTAAAGTATGAATGGGCCTTAGGATTTTATTAGCAGACCTTAAGTATATAAGTTGGGCCTTTATGGGCCTTGTCGGCCATTATTGTGTTATCTAAATTTCCTTATATCATTTGGATATATAAACCATTCATGATGAATAACACAACCACAGACTCACAATTTTTCACCATGAACTCGTGTTTTGATAGTTTTCATTCACCATCTGCTTTTTTAAGATAAGAGATAATACCCTCCTTGAAAAATGGTCATCGTAATGCCCCGCATCGCTCAAGCACAAAAAAATCTATGGATATCCCGAATGGCTGTTTAGCAGTTTATGTCGGTGAGCAAGAGAAGAAGCGATTTGCAGTTCCTGTATGGTTGTTTAGCCAACCTACTTTTCAAGAACTACCAGATCAGGCTGAGGAAGAATTCGGGTATAGTCATCCAATGGGCGGCCCGACAATACCATATAGTGAATATACATTCACCAATCTACCTTCTCGTTTGGGTGCATTATGACTTGTATACAACATTCTTCGTTACCTTGAATAGCTAACCGACAACTAGAATATTTTTTTATCTGTTGTAAATAGAGAAAAATGGTACCATTTTTGTATGTAACTTTAACATGGAACTATTTAGAGGTCAGTGTATTTTGTTTAGCATTAAGAGTTAAGACATAAAGAGCAACGAATTTCACCATCTACTATTTTGGCACTTAGGATTTTTCATACCTTGAAGTTTGTTCCTAGAAAGACAAAATCACCTTATATACTTGTTTCTTTTGTCTCAAAGCGATATATAAAATGATACAACGAATTACCAAAACGGATCATGAGCTTTTGTGGCAATACATTTTGATGCATGTAAAACATTTATACTTTCATAGTCTTAGAGCATACGTTAAAGACACACATCTCATGCAACAATTACCAAAAACTATGCTGTCCTTAAAAAATAATATATAGTAAACAGAGTAGTATAGGAGAATGAGGCTGCTGTTCATACAAGATTTAAATATTTATGTTCAGCTTTTGGAATATGTTATTTAAATTTAAAGTAAACAACACTTGTTGGGTTTAATGTTAATTTTCTGTCTTGATGAAGGAGGCTGTCGAGTTTTTTGCAGAATCAGGCGGAGGTGATGGCTGCGCTGGTGAAGAATCCAATGGTGATGAAACTTGGCTGAAGAAAGAAGAGAAGGCAAAGATGAAAACTGCCACGGTGATGATTGGTAGAGGTGCAGCAAGTGGCTTTTGGTCGAGATTGCTAGGGGTATGGACAAGTCAGAATTAGGGGGGGTGATTGTTTTGTTTAATTCTGACTTTTAGTCAAAAGTGGTGACTGGTTCAAAGCATTCGGTTTTATTAGGGGTAGTTTAGTCTTTTGCTTAGAGTATGAATAAGTAAATGGCCATGTGGGCACTAGAGATTTAGTAGCCAGTAGTTGCAGTCTTTTTAGGAAAATAGTTGAAATTTGTGTTATTTAAAGTACTCTTGTATTCGTTGAAAGAGGGACATAGAAAAACACAGAAAAGTTAGTCCCAAAACCTCTGTTTCGTTTCTCATCTTTTACCATCAATTGTGTGTTTTGTTTTTGGCATTCTTTTGTGCAGATTTTGATCCTACAACACTTGCCTTACATCAACAGAGAACACTGCATATTCTGTTTCTTTTTATGCTCTATTTTTTATGTTTTGTACCTTCTAGTCCTTTTATATATTCCACAATGCATTTTCTTTTCAAAGAAAACATAAAAATCCAACCTGATGCCTAAGGAACTAACGCATTTATAACTAGATTTTCATTGGAATAGCATTAGAAGAGTTCAATAATGATGGCTATCAGTGGAGCAATGGAAACACAGTTATAAAAATATACAAGAGTTTCTTACCGCAAACTATTATGATGGCAGTTGGCTACATAGGATTACCTTAATGAATCAGATGAAGAGTTGGGGCATGTTTTAAGCCTAAATATGGACACAAATATAGAATTTCTTTTTTCATGATGCCCACTTTTTTTTGTTCAAATTATTAATCATGAATGTATATGAGAATGGTAGAATCCCTCTGTGTGTGTAATACCCCCCCCACCCCCCCCCCCCCCCACCCCCACCCACACACACAAAGGCTAATCCATAATGTTAAAAGGGAGTTTCGGAAATTTTTTGCAATGACTACTGATTACTAGTTTCCCAAAATAAAGTTTCTGCTTATGTGGGAGTTTTGGCAAGGAGATACTCCTAGTATGTTGTAGTTAATTACATATTTGATGCTTCAAATCCACACTGATTGTAAAACGACATTTTGTTATAATATTTGCATATCCCCTTTCCGAGCCTAACTCTCTCTTGAGAGGAAATTATGCTGGTGTTTTGCCTATCATATGTTATATATAAAGATTTATTAAGGGTGGTGTCTTTTCTATGCTTGTGTATAGAAAAGAATTTAACAAAGAAGATAACTTGTATCGCCAATATTAGAAACTAAGGTGGGTATGAAAAACTATAGAAGCACCATGGTCCCATGTAATATTAAGAGGAATGTGGAAATGCCTCCTAACAAGCACGAAATTGTGACTAATATCTCTGGGGCTTTCTTAAAACATATGTGGCCCTATCATTAATAAGTGAGTTGGACACTGGATCTATCTTACAGATTGGAAGACAATGCCATGTGAGGTTGCCTTTTCGTCCACCGTATGTCAGCATCCTCTATCAGGATCTCCTTGTATCTCTGTATATAAAAACCATTCGATATGAATCACACAACCACAACTTCCTCTGAAATCCTTCGCAACTTTTCACCTAGAAGACGTGCTTTGAGAGTTTCCATCCGCAATCAGGCCTTTCAAGTGAACAGACACCATCCTCCTTAAAAATGGCCATCCTTTTTCCTCGGATCATTCAAGCAAAACAAATTCTCAGAAGATCATCATCCAATGGAAGCAGCACAACCAAATCTATGGACATTCCGAAAGGTTATTTGGCAATTTATGTTGGTGAGCAAGAGAAGAAGCGATTTGTGGTTCCTGTATGGTTGTTAAGCCAACCTGCATTTCAAGAATTACTAGATCAGGCAGAGCAAGAATTTGGGTATGTTCATCAAATGGGCGGACTCACAATTCCATGCAGTGAATATAATTTCAGTGATGTTGCTTCTCAGTTGGGCGCATTATGACTTCCTATCAGAATTTTTACAACCAACTAACCACTAGGTTCTTTTTATCTTTTGTAATTAAATCGAGACAATTTTCCCAGTTGTATGAAATCGGATCAAGGAACAATTTTGAGTTCATTATAAATTTTTCATTGTATGAATGAGAAACTAATTTTACCATCGACAATCTTGGAAATGTGCATTTTTGGTTCGGAGTGAAACGGAGAGTATTGTATTTAATGTTATATCTTTGTCTGTCTTATAAAACTGCATAAAGCAAACAGAGCTAGCAAAGATGGTTTCTGTTTATGGTAAACCAAACTAATATGCTATCTAATCTTTCTTCTGGTTGACTTTTAATGTGAATGAAAACAAATGAAGTTAGCCGGGAGATCAAATATTTGGTAATATCAATTTTTAATGTTAGGAGTTATGGTATTTTAACTCAGTAAACAGTGTGGTTCTTATCAAGTTGTACATAATTATTAAAAATGAGTGGTGAACAATGCGTAGCAGTTGGGTCCAAGACCTTGTGATAATGATTTATCCAACATTAACTCTCACATGCTTTTGTTCCCTTACCCAAATTAAAATATAAGTTGGAAAAATATTGATACGTTACAAGACCCAATTGTGTTCTAACTGAAAACAATTCCGTCCTATGAAAAACCAACCTATTCATTAGATATACAAATAGATTTATAACAATGTTTACTACTCTTTTGATTACCTACACACCCAATGATCATTCAAATTATAGCCAATGAGAACTCCGATAAAGGTATGCAATTTACCTACCACAACTAATTAATATGCAAAATTATTGCATAATGACAGTAACCGGGAATCATAGAACACCGGTTGATATATTATGGATTTCGACCATCACCGTCCAGAACACTGAAAAAACACTGATAATTGATTTTTGTTCCTCATATCGGTGTAGCCATGTGTTGTTATCAGCTTAGGCCACAACCCAAGGAAAATAAAGTCATATATCCCAATATTGATACTTATTTTTTGAAATTGAGCAGACACTTCGTTTTTAAACAAAAAAATATTGACAATGAATTTTGTTTCTCCTTCAAGTATAAGCTTATATCATCAAATAATATACATGGTATTACAAACAAGTCAAAATTCATATTTTACACAACCGGGACAAGTGACTTAGTCTCGCATGTCGCAATATGATCTGTGATTTACAAAAATGTGTTAGCAAATAGAATGATGTAACTTGACTTTAACATGCTCCCAGGCGACTTGGAAGATCAAATAATTTCTGCTCACTACACTGGATTGTTAGGCCACCCATTGGATGGTCATATCCAAACTCTTCCTGTGTCTCACGTAATAAGTCCTGAAATGAAGGCTGGTTTAACAATGACACAGGAATCACAAAACGCTTCTTTTCTTGTTCTCCAACATAAACAGCAAAATACCCTTTCGGTAGATCCGTTGCTGTTGTGCGGTTTCCATTTGACAAAGACCGTTGGAGTATTTGTCTTGCTTGAATGATCAGAGGCATACGAATACCCATTTTTCTGAAGGTTTATCACGGAGCAACAAAACAATTTGAGAGTAATCTCAAAGTGAAAGATGTACAGGGGGTTAGAGAGGAAAGTATGCTGGTGTTTTGCCTATCATATGTTATATATAAAGGTTTATTGGACAATCAAAGGTACCATAAGTGATAAAATAGAAATTAAATGACAGATGGGGACATTGCGACAGGAAGGCAAGATCATGTGTTGTGTCTTTTAACTTGTATAATAGTGTGATCTTTAATAGCACAACCACAAAGTCACAAGCAATAATATGGCTTAATCATGTACTTGTGTATAGAAAAGAATTTAACAAAGAAGTTAACTTGTATCGCCAGTATTCAAAACTAAGGTGGATATATAGAAGAACCATGGTCCCATGTAATATTAAGAGGAATGTGGCAATGCCTCCTAACAAGCACGAAATTGTGGCTAATATCTCTGGGGATTTCTTGAAACATATGTGGCCCTATCATTAATAGGTGAATTGGACATTGGATCTGTCTTACAGGTTGGAAGACAATGCCATGTGAGGTTGCCTTTTCGTCCACTGTATGTCACCATCCTCTATCAAGATCTCCTTGTATCTCTGTATATAAAAACCAATCGATATGAATCACACAACCACAACTTCCTCTGAAATCCTTCACAACCTTTCACCAAGAAGACGTGCCTGCTTTGAGAGTTTCCATCCTCAATCAGGCTTTTGAAGTGAACAGACACCACCCTCCTTAAAAATGGCCATCCTTTTTCCTCGGATCATTCAAGCAAAACAAATTCTCAGAAGATCATTATCCAATGGAAGCAGCACAACCAAATGTATGGACATTCCGAAAGGTTATTTAGCAATTTATGTTGGTGAGCAAGAGAAGAAGCGATTTGTGGTTCCTGTATGGTTGTTAAGCCAACCTGCATTTCAAGAATTACTAGATCAGGCAGAGCAAGAATTTGGGTATGTTCATCAAATGGGCGGCCTCACAATTCCATGCAGTGAATATACATTCAGTGATATTGCTTCTCAGTTAGGCGCATTATGACTTCTATACAGCATTCTTACAACTAATTAACCACTAGCTAGGTTTTTTTGTCATTTGTATTTAAATCGAGACAATTTTCCCACTTGTATGAAATCAGATCAAGGAACAGTTTTGAGTTCACTATAATTTGTTTAGTGTATGAATGAGAAATATTTTCAGCGTTGATTATTTTTGAAATGTGAATTTTGGGAGTGAAATGGAGTTAACAAAGATTGTTGCTTTTGTTCATGACCTATCATCAGAAATATAATTGGTAAACAATATGTAGCACTTGGGTCCATGACCTTGTGATGGTGATATATCAACCATTAAGTCTCACATGCTTTTGTTCTTTAACCAAAGTAAAATCCAAGTTGGCTAAACATTGATGCATTACAAGACAAATTGGCTCCCACTTGAAAACAATTCCATCGCATGAAAAATGAACATGGTGATTACATATACCAATAGAGTTATAGCAATGTTTAACTATTATTTTCATTACTTATACACCCAAATATCATGTAAATTAAAGCCAATGAATCATGTTGTTAAAGCTATGCAGTTTCCTTATCA